CACCTATAAACGGAATTCTGATCTGAAGAGGCAAGCGAACGGTAATGTTTCCACCACCCGGCGACACACCATTGCATCGCCTTTCCGGGTCTGATACGAAGCGCCATTTGTGTCACCCCCAGACTATGGCCAGATCAATCTGCTTGGGTGATTCAAAGGATTCCGCCATTGCGCAAGCATTCGGGTGAGCGCTCAAAATCTTTTGTTGCGTTCCTGTCTCCCATCCAACGGATGGAACACACCCCGTTGGCCCCTCGCAGGCCAGATCTGTCTTTCATGGATCTCGCTTCAGGTTCCAGGGCAACGGTGCGAGGTTGGCGGGTCTAAGAGGAATCGAGCCAGCTCAGGTGTCATAGGATCTAACCCCCCTAGCTTCCTGCTGGGTGCAACTTCATCATGACTTCATTTGTAGAGCGCGGCAAGGATCCCGAAGGCCCAGTCACACTGTTGCTCCGATTTTCTTAAAGGGAAGCAAAGTGAACCGTTCACCTTATATGTGCTGGGAAAGCGGAAGCCAAAGGGGGCCGAGCCAGTTCTCTATCGACAATGGGTGTTGACCACTTCTCCTCCCAAACGTGTTTTGCCCTTACCATGTTCCTCCAGAAAACCAACTAGAGCCGCCTAAATGGCCCTTTTGGTGTCTTGGCTGCTGGGAATGGCAGAATTCCCATGCCGCGTGGGAGATGCCCATCTCTCGACTCCTCAAGCTTCTGACCGGAAGGCCTAAACAAACAAGCCATCTCCCTTGTAGGCTTCTTCCAAAGATGGCTTTCATAGTGGGAAACATGGAACTATAGGTTGTTAACATGGACCCCCAAAACACCTCCATTTCAAAAAGAATCTTCGTTTAGGAATTGTGACCCCCTTTCGTGTTTCATGCGGTGTCCTTGTTTGACGATACCGTGTTTTGGGTCGGTTTCAAGGGAAACCAGCGGAAACAAGATCAATTTTAAGAATCCCCTATTTTGAGAACCCATATTGGGACGGGGCAGGGTGCTGGCCAGGGCTGCGGCGGGGCTCCAAAGATCTCTCGCCTGACTTGAGACATGGGGCGGCGAGGGGGCGGGGGGGGGGGGGGGCGGAAGGGGCTTGGCCCAAACCATGTTTATTGCTTCGCGTCTTCCAATGCAAGTTTTGAGGAGGGGATGCGCCAAAGGGAACAACGTAAGCTAAATGAGGCTGGCGGAGGGTGCCCCATGTTTTCCAGTGCCCAGAAAGGCACAACTAGATCCAAGGGTGCCAACAGAGTAGATTTCAAATCAGAATTCTGCTTCAAGGGGTTTACTACGGGATTCTACCACGTCCCTTGGAAAACGGATATAGAATTCCAAGCGTCCACCCCAACTCCATGAAGGATGCTCTTAAACAAGGGTCCAAGTGCCAGCAACTGAACCCACTGAATGAATTCTACCTCAGCTTTGCCCCCCCTCCCAAAGAATAACATCGGGCCTTAAAGTCACACACCAGCCACACACACACACACAGCTGATCATGACTTGAATTGGCTCGCCGTACTCACACCCCCCCCATTCCAACTATCCAGGCATATGATAAACTGGAAGCGCTAAGACGGATAAGCTCGGGAATCTCAGGTACGGTTCACAATGCTTCACAGCCAAGACTTCCTCACTTGCAATGGGTGCATGCCCTTAAGGGTCATCCGACAGTGTAGTTCCAGTGCAGCTCCTTGCGAGCGAAAGTCAAAAAAGTATCAAAACGGGGAGGCGAGCAAAATGCAGGTGTTCCTTTGGGTTCCCTTTAAAGCCACCCCAACAAGCGTAGTCTTAACACTGGATTGCTCTCTCCTCCCCCTCCCCCCGAGCAAAAGGGCAGATCTTTTGTGGGTTTCACGGGAATGCCATTTGTTGCCAACTTTAGAACGAGCCGCCTCCAGCTCCCTTAACCAGCTGAGCTGCGCCCGTTTGGCCCACTGACTTTTGGTTTTAACACAGTTACAATGGTTGATACTATGGGCCTTATTTGCTAGAGTCCCTAGTAAACCACATAGTCGAACCTACTAAAATGGTCGGTATTTCGGATCTGGGGCGCTGCGCCACTGCAAACAGCAAAACTGAACAACGGCCGTTCTTGAAGCCTTGCGCCAAATCAGAGAGCGATTTACGCCATGAGTTGGCACATTCTTTGTCGCTCTTTAAAAGGGCTTTGCCGGGTTGGGTCAATGGGGAAACCAAAGCAAACACCATGTTGGGGGTTCCCCATTTGAGGTTTAATATTATATGCAAGCCGGTCGTGTTGAACGTCAACGGCCGGACCCGCATCAGCATGTAGCGCATGTAGATAGGTTTGTCTGTTGGTTTCCATTTGCAAGCCAACACGGGGTTCCACCCGAAAACATCACAGTCCATCCAAAATGGGTAGCTTCGAGCTTGATTTCTCTTGAAATGCAACCCCGAAAGGGGCGTGCCTCACTTCCGATCGAGTGGATTGGGCAAAAGAGTTCAAACGTTGTATTGGCCACAAAAGTGGTCATCCCAACAGGTTCCCGGCTGGGAACTCGGGGAGTGAGGTGTACACCTCCAACCAAAATAAGCAGAGCACTTGCGACACATCCTGCCTCATTGCCTGTCAGCTTGACCTGGGTGGATACCAATGGCCAGGAGAAACCCAGGAAATCCTTACGGTAGATAAAGAGCAAGTGTCATGTTGGGTTCTTGAATGCTGGCTCCCTTTCTGGGTTATCTATCAGGTGAATGGAATGGGGACTGGTCTCTCAAAAGCAACTGCGAGGCTGGGTTTCGTTTTGCCCGGCAATTGACACGCACCAAACTTGGGCTTCCAAGGGGTTGTTTCCGACTGTCCCTTGGGCAATTGCTCAAAGAAGTTCGGTGACTCGAATGCGAGGTGTGTCTTGCAATGGAAGACCCAACACATGTTATTTACAATGAGATTCGTCTCAAAGGCAACTCCAAAAACGATGGGTTGTATCCTGGGTGGCCTATAGAGTGGGAACTGGGATCAACCGGGCAACTGTTTAAGGTTGGGTGACTCGGTCAATGGGTTCTATCTAGCAAATGTTGTGAAATCGGATGCCAACAAGCAGGGCGCGCCTCTCGCATGGAACCCGTTTACCAGAACCCGGCTAGACCGGGTCCTCTAAAATGGTATTCCTTTTGTCTCCCAGTGTTGCAGTTACGTAGTTGCCTAGTGGCTTGCAGGGACCCAGGTCTCCTTTCCTTGCAAGTCAGGCCTGGTTTCAGTGGGTTCTAGAAAAAATGCCTCACAACCTTGTAAGTTGCTCTTCAACATATTGCGTTTCGATGGCCTATTGTGTTTGTTCTAAGGGTTTGGTGTGGCCTTGTTATAGGTAATCCCACGGCCTCTCACCAGGCGTGTACAACGCGCACCCATGTGAAAAATTCCCCAAGGATTCAGTTTGGAATCCATCAATTACTTCCATTCTGCTTCAGTCCCTGGAGATACACATATTCCAGTAGTGATAGCTTCCCTTTAAAGACAACAGGGAAAATAGAATAAACAATGAGCAAACTCCCTGGAATCTGTGACTGAAAACTCTTCAAACAGGGCTGTTCCAATTCTGGGGAAGAAACCTTATCAGCCAGGTGCGCAAAAAAAGGGGAGTGTCGTGTGTAAGACACGAACCCCCGAAGATGGTTTCGGTCTTCCTTTTGATTTCCTTTCAACACACGCAAAAAGGGGGGCACCGAGCCTCCAAAAAGACAAGCCACCCACGCGAGATTCCCAGCACAGGAACCATACTGGGTAACACCGAATCCCTCAAGTCCAAGGATTGAGCAGCCGACGAGTTACTGAGTTGGAGCCGACAGACAGCTTCACGTGGGATGAATTTACTGGACTGCTAGAAAAGCGTCCTTGCATTTCCCAAAAAGCAACAGGTGGTCTCGAGCTTTGCGAGTTGACTTGTCACCAACCGTCGTTTGCTGCATTTTGCCTGCACCCCGCGCCGTGAACGGTAAAACCCATTTGCAGGGAAACCTCTGACGGCAAGGAATGCCAGAGCCATCTTGAGTGAATAGAAGTCGTGCAAGTTGCGAGCAACAAATGTGGTTTTCTCCTTTTTTTGGTTCTTCATGTTGACCCAACAAATTGATCAACCCCGAGTTGATTCATAGGCCGCAACTCATCTTTTGAGTTGAAAAAGGTTGGAACGGTCCCCTGACAATCCAGGTTGGCTGATCCAGGGTCGACTACTGCGAAATGGGCTAAGAGGTCTGCTCAACTGAGCAATCAAGGAATGTTAGCCAAAAGCCGTTTCCAAGAGGCCATGGTTGTTTTTTTTCACCAAGGGAGAACATCGTCATCCAATGGCGGAGGGTTTCAACCATATCCCTGCAGAGAGGTAGTGTCCATGTGCCAAGGCAAAAACATCTTGGAGGAACGTGTTTGCAACTCCTTGGCGCTCCTTCAATACAGTCCCTGGGAGGAATCTACCTCAGCTTTTGCCAAAAGAATATCTTTGATTCTGGTCCATATTTAGTGAACCTCCAAAAGTAGCATTTTTGTAAAAGAGATCCCAAAAGAGGCCTGCCTCCCTCAATGTTCCTTGTAGAGTGGCAGTGTCATTGGAACCCAAGAGTCAAATAATTGAAGGGGGGTCTAGTGCGACCGGCACCGAATCCACAAAGAAACCGGCCAGGTTGAGACCCGGCCTCAGGAAGCACCTTTTTCTCTGCTGTCCATGCACCAGCGATGTTGCTGATTGGCCCCAAACCCCCAAACCTCCAGTGGATGTTTGCTTGGGATAAGAGGAGGTTCTGTTCTGCTTGGTTTCGAGGCTCAAGGGACCTTGGCTGACTTGATGTGTTCAAAAAGGCACCCCAAAGAAGAAACAAGAGACGTCTTGATTGATCTAGGGACACCCCACCCGCCCAAAACAGGCACTGGAGGTCTGAGAACACAGATCCATGCCGAATTGACATCTTGCCCGTCTAGATTCGACATCTAGATCCATGTGGGTGTCCAGCTTCCGCTGGAACAGCGGAACGGTTCGGAACAGAGATCTACTTCGACACTGCGCTCTCCACCACCTTTGGAGACCTTGGCGAGCTGTCGAAGCACCAAGCCCTATGAATCCATTTACATGGCCATGGGGCAAAATCCAAATTGTACCCCCAGTGAACATCCCAATCCCCACTATAGACTAAAATGGGTGGTGCGCCTACCCCAAAATGGTACCATTGGTTTGGACCCACAGCCATATTGTAGGCTAGTAAGTGAGGGAATCATGAATTCCCTAGAGGTACAAATCCTGGGTACCAGCGCTCGCAAACATTCGATCCACTCGAAAGAGGATGCCGCACTTTTGGAGGGGCCAAACATTCTCACTTGTGGGTTGGTCAGAAGGTCCCATGGACATGCAATGACCATTGGATGGAAAACTATTAAGGTCTTTCTTCCCTCATGTGAAAAGGTAGCCATAGTCTTTAGGGGCTGAAGGGAATATTCATCAACTCCCACATGGGAAGTGATTAATAAGAGCCCACTGGCCATTGCCAACCATGGGAACGGAATTACTGGCTGATTCTCAATGGACGGCTAACGTGCTAGGCGGCTGCAGACCCCCTACCACCAGGCAAACAAAAGGAAACTTGCAAACGGGTGTGTCTTGAATGGGAGTTGGTACCCCTTTTTGTAGTTTTTAAAGGAAAGCCAAAAGGAACACCGCTATGTTGGCGGGTCCAACCTTATAAAGACACACCCATCATCAAGTTGGCAACCTTCAGATGGGAAAACCAGAGGCTCTGGAATTATTCGGACTTGCAGAGACATCCATCTAACCTCAAAACGGGATCAAGTTTATACATTTTATACAGGACCTGTGGGTTTTGTTCCATTTTTTAGGGGACCCCCCAAATGCATGGTTCTCCTTTTGGTTCCCTTACCGAACATGGGGGGAACCCCGAAGAGAGAGAGAGACCCAGATGCCTGGATCAGCTCGTCTTACCCCGAATCGCTAAGAAAATCCTTGGCAGATATGGATGGGTAACCTATGCCGATCCCATTTTGGGGCGGATGAACACCCATGTACCACCTATTTTTTAGGTTCACCGACAGGGTTTTGACCCACAGCCACATCGCTGGCTGAGTTCCCCGACATGTTGATGTTCTTAATTCTTCGCTTCTCGTTCCTCCTGTCGATCTCCTGAATCCACAAGCCAGAGAACAGGTCCCAAAAATGAACGAACCATGTCGTAGTCAGGTTCTATGTTGGGGCCCCAGAAACACACAACGGGGGAGTTGCTGCCACACAGCCCCTCGCCAGTATTGGCATCAAACAAATGATAGGAACCCGGACTACCCGAACCGATACCCAAGCCAAACACCGATAGGAATGGCCTGACCAACACCAATACTCGGGTAGTTTGATGGCAAAGAGGTCCGGTGACCCTCGGCGAGTTGCTAGAACCCATTTAAGGCCACTCAACTCACGCACTGACCTGCCCTTTTAGGACACTTTTGGGGACCTGGAGAAACATGGCACAAAAGAAACATCGGAAAGCTCAAAGGTCAATTTGCTTACAACTAGGACTCACTTGAGGGGCCGAAAAGTGATATCCAAGCCTAAAAGACATAGGGATCCTTGGTTGTTGATGGATTAGCAGTTTTTTGTGTCTAAAAGAGGGCTTTGGGAAAATAGGATGAATAGAAGGTGCTGATTTGGGTTGAAGCGTCTCCCATTTAGGAAGGAATCCAACTTACTTCTTTGGGTTGGGGAGTTGTGCGTCCGCCAGGTTGATCAGTTCGTCGCAGCAAAAGGTCGGACATTGCGAGTCCGCGCCAAGGAAGGCATACATAGGTCTGGCGCCCCAACTTCAGCTGTCGATTTTTCCAGGGATCCTTTATTTTTGTTCTCAAAAACTCCCTGTATGGAGTTTCTCTTGTTCTAAGGGTACCCTTTACGGATTGCCGTTTCTCAAACCAAAAGAAAGCCACCAACTTCGTGAGGTCTAACCATTTTGAGACAACCCATATATGTGTGACCATGGGAACCACCAATGTCCTGGATGTCCTCGGACCTGGGAATGGTAATTGGATTGAACAGGGAATTCAACTTGAGTCCAGCTTTAAACTCGCCCGAAACCACCCGGAAACCACGCAAACCAACCTACATCAACCCTAAATCAACCCTAAATCAACCCAAGACCAACCCCGCGTACCACAGGTCGATTCCCTCCGGACAACTGAGTCAGACCTCTTCACACCCCCTCCCACACTCCTCTTCCACCTGGCGCATTTCTTTTTGGATCGCGGGGTGACCGACAAACAAGTCTCGGTTATGGTTGGTTTTTCACCGCCGGTTTCTTGCGCTTTCTCGCATTATGTCTTGCTTTGTTTGTGGGTTCCCTTTCTTGCTTCTCTGTTCGGTTCTGTTCTTTATTTCTGTATTCGTTTCTATATCTATTCTTTCTTTCGTTCCTTTGTTCCCCCTTTCTATCTTCCGGTCTTTCTTTTGTAGTTCTTGTTTGCGTAGCCACTCTGTAATCGCAGGGTGCTTTTAGCCCCATTCAACCTTAGTATGCCATGGAGCAAGAATTGGAAAACCAGGTTTCCTGCAGTATCCCCCGGCCTTTTCCTCCGGGTTTCAATTCATACTCTGCTTGTTGGTATTAAGCTACTCAGGTGGCAAACACGACAAATACGGCCGTGCCCGAAAATATGCGCGCGCCTGAAAATAAGAGAAACACAGAGATGGCAACCCATTTCTGCATATACTTGGTTGCTTTCTGCTCCCCTGCGAAAAGTTTAACATTTAGTGGTTTAATACGGAACACCCATTAGTTGGCAAAAAGTTAAAGTCCTAACATCCCTTGGCCAACTGCACCAAAATTTAGTTTGCTCTTCGCTTGCAAGGACCCACAACCACAATGCTTGGCTTGGGGTGCGGTTCTCAGGGCCCAGAAGGGCACTCGGCCGAAGTTTGTCCCAAGGCCTGCGGTTAAGGAAGACTGAGGCTTTTTAGGATACAGACGTCTGTCAGAACATGATCCAAAGGAAGCGGGTTTTTGAACATGCTCCAAATCTTCGAGATAGACAAGTACTCTTCAAGTACGCGTATTATCTGATTTGGAGGTTTCTCTGGCAACATAGGTGTTCTCTGCAAATGTACGTGCACCTCCCACTCTGTGTTTGTGTGTCTGTGTGTTTGTGTGTCTTGTGTGTGTCTGTGTGTTTGATTGTTGTTTGAGGGGATACCAAAAGGAGACCAGTTGGACTACAGCCAACTGTGATTGTTCCATGTTTTTTAACAAGGGACCTCAGACAAACCCGGTTCCTGCTGGTTTCCCGGGCCCAGAGAAAAGGGCTCAACCAGTTCACCTCCGGGTGGAAAGGGGAAGCCTCGAGGCTTCGGACTCGCATCCAACACCTGGTGTCCAGTTTGTAGGTTCCCTCTCTTTTCCTGGCGCTAGTTCGAATACAAGGAGAAACAGCGAAGCCATTTGAGTCATAATCAAAACCCGGTACAAAAATGGTGCCAGAACCATGTAAGGAACTAAGAAGGCGGATATCCGCAGCTATTTATGGCCAGGGGATCATCCCTTACTAACCTTCGAATTCATCTACCCAGGTTTTGATTGGGTTCCCTTTTTTGGGGTTCCCTTTTTTTCTCCTGGCGTATAATAAGACTACAAGGAGAAACACTGAAACCATTTGAGGCTTCGTTCTCACGCTTCCGGCACGCGTTCCCCGCCTCCTGGAGGTAGCCTTGGAAGTTCTTCCAGGCTTTGGTCAGCTCCGCCTCATGGTCTGTGCCCTTGAAGAGGTGCGTGTAGTCCTCCTTCCTGAAAAAAAACACAAAAAACAATGGTGCACAAAAAACCAATGTTCAGATTATGGTGGGTTCCTTCCATGTCTCATTCCCCGATTTCGCACCGATCGCAAGTCTTGGATCGTCTCGGAAACCGAGGTTCAGGAGCGGCTGCTGCATGGACGTAAAGACGTTCACCACCGACATGATCATGTGCTGCCGTGGCCTGCCATGGCTGAGAAAAACATCTCATGAGGGCTGGGGGGGAGGAAGAGGGGAGGGAGAGGCCTTATTTGGGGCTTGTTTGGGCTAGCCCCTCACGAAAATCCTGTGGGGAATGACCCGAATTCCTTTCAAGGAAGCCACAAGTTTAAAGGGAGTGTGGAAGAGGAACTCTCATTGTCTAAACTGAGGGGTTGATGACCATACCAACCACAAAAACCTCTTCACCATGGCACACAGGGTTGGACATAACCCGAAAGCTGTGATATCGTTAAGTGATACATTCCCATCCCCGCGACTTCACTTAGGAGGTGCCCCTAGGATAAGTTGCTGCACAACCCTGGCCTGGAAACAAAATAGGTTTCGCTCTCCTCTCAGGGATACCGGTAGCCCTGGTTGCAAAATATGCAAAGCTCGGATGTTTTTGGGACTCTCCTATCTGGGGGGACCGTTTTTTGGTAGCCCTGTGGTCCATATGGGTCCGTTTCCTGTAGGGTACCCTATCAAAGGGGACAGCTTGGCGTCAAGGCTCCAGGTTTCAAAGTCCCGGCCAAGCCGGTTCCGAGAACAAGCCAACACTCCTTTTGAAGACTTGCGCAAAAACACGTTCCTGAAATGGGGCTCCATGTGAATATATATATATATATATTTCTATATACATTTCAGCTTGCTTGCTTCCATCGAGCTCCCACTTCCCCTGAAACCCTCACCAAGGAACCTCACCTCAGAACCAGAAATAATTACCTGGAACAAAAGTCTAAGATTAATCAAAACAAACAAAAATAGAACTGGACCTCTGCGTCACCCCCTCGACGACGAGAACCTTTGAAAGGAGCCGCAACCGCTGCTTAAAATCCGCGCAGCCGGCGTGCCTGCCGAAGGGCTCGCCGCTCTTCCAGGACATCGAGGCCAAGCCTAACGCAGGCTTGTCAAGAGGAAAAGTTCTTCGCGCCGCTGCGTCGCTTTGGATCGGGCTACTACCCCTGTACATGACACTAGCAGCCATTGCGCCCTGCGTAAGAGCTGGTTTTTGCGGACCTGCTCGTGGAGCTTGTGTGGTATGAACGCGCCCCAAAACGCACAATCTGTGTTTTCCACAACCCATGGAGGCAAGTGAGCAAGAAACCATGTTTGAAACTCGGGCTTCAAGACGCAAAGCTCAAAGCTCCGAAAAATACGGTCTTTGGTTAAGGAATCCCCCGATATTGAAACAAACCCAACCGGAAAATGGATCGATAGATTATAGGTTAGATTAGAATAGAACAGAATATAATCGAATAACTTAGATAGATTAGAACCATTGGATTAGAATAGGACAGAAAATAATAGAATAACTCAGCTAGATTAGACAGATTGACGAGATTAGAAAAATTAGGTGGATTAGATAGATTGAATAGATCAGATAGATTGTTGGATAGATTAGATAAATTAGATATATTAGACGGAATTAAAACAAGCAAGCAAAGCGGAGAAATTAGATACAAAAACAAAACCTGATACAAGCCACGAACCCGAATGCAAAAGATGGCCTTGGGCATGCGCATTTCGTCAACTCGTGCAATGTTGTCCAGCTGGAGACATGTTTTGAGCGACGTTTTGAGCAACCGACACCTCTAAATATTCTTCAACGCAACACTCGTAAGCGACTTTTGTCACTGACACTTTTGAGAGACGCTTCTGAGCAAGAGCTTGAGCAACGGCGACACTTCTGAACACGCACTTACAAGCGATATTTCGAATTACGCTCCTAAGCGACACCTCTGATTGACACATCTAAGCGCCAAGCTCCAATCCTGAAGCCATAGATCTGAGCGACAAACTACGGCAAACTGAGCGACACCTCTACACACTCACACATAAGCGACACTTCTGAGCAACACTTCAAGTGACACTTTTACACTTTACACACACACACATACACGTAAGCGACGCTTTTGAGCGACACTCCTGAGCGACAGTTCGGGCAACATTTCTATCTGAGCGACACTTTTGAGCGACACTCCAACATTTGTGAGCGACACATCTGGGCAACACTTCCGAGCAACACTTCTGAGCGATACTCCTGAGCGACACTGCGGACAACACCTCTGAGCGACACTTCTGAGCCACATGCACTTCTACACGCACATCAGCAACACTCCTGGGCGACACTCCTAAGCGACGATTCGAGCGACACTTCTACACACACATATCTGAGCGACACCCCTCATGAGCGACACTTCCTGAGTGACACTTCTGAGCGGCGCTTCTGAGCAACACATCTGATCGACACTTTTGATCGACACTTCTGAGCAACACTTCGATCCGAGCAACGCCTCTGGTCGACACTTATGAGCAACACTTCTGGTCGACACTTATGAGCGACGCTTCTGAGCAACACCTCTGATCGACGCTTCTGAGCAACACCTCTGATCGACACTTCTGAGCAACACTTCTGACCGACACTTCTGAGCAACACTTCAATCCGAGCAACGCTTCTGGTCGACACTTCTGAGCAACACTTTTGATCGACACTGCTGAGCGACACTTCATGCATGAGCGACACGAGCGACAATTCTGGTGAAAACTTCTGATCGACGCTTCTGATCGAGACATCTGAGCAACGCTTCTATTTGACATTTCTGAGCCACACTTCTGAGCGATGCGACACTTCTGAGCAAGACTTCTGAACAACTCTTGTGATCGATGCTGCTGATCGACACTTCAGATTAGCACTTCTGAGCGACGCGACACTTCTGAGCAACACTTCTGATCAACACTGCTGACCGACACTTCTGAACGATTCTGGTCGACACTTCTGATCGACACTTCTGAGCGACACTTCTGAGAAATGCAGCTTGTCACGTCTCTTGCCACGTCTCTTGTCTTAGTTAACACTACTAAACGACACTTCTGATCGAAACTTGCGATCAACACTTCTGATCGACACTTCTGAACATCACTTCTGGTTGACACTTCAGATGGACACTTCTGATCGTCTCTCTCTCTCTCTCTCTCTCTCTCTCTTCACTCTCTTCACGCTCTCTCTCTCTCTCTCTCTCGCTCTCTCTCCATACTTCTATAATCGACACTTCTGAGCAACACATCTGATCGACACTTCTCAACAACACTTCTGATGGACACTTCTGATCAACACTTTTGATCGACACTCGCACTGCGCGCGGAAAACTAGCGCGGGACTGTAGCGCCAGAATGATTTCGACCGATTTCTTGCAAATCTGCAGTCGTGAAAACAAGCCGATTGTACGACAGGGCCAACGAAAACGGCGCCGGCGCAAACACTATCACGCGCCTGCCAAGCAGGACACCTCAAAACAACCACCCCTGGATCGGAAACCCCACTGGCACGGCAACGAGAACACGCAGCCTTCCAAAACACGGCGCCTGCGCAGTGAAACGACACGTCGAGCTTGAGAAGCTATGATTCCCACACAGGGGCACGAAAAATGACACGCTTCAAGTCATCCAGCTGGCACGTTTTTCGCTTTCCCCACTGGAGCTGCAAGCGCGGCACTCGCGAACACATACGAACGCTTGGGGACGTAAATTCAACGACTCCTGGTCACGTCCGAACCCCCAGACCCCCGACCTCTAAACGGGTATTCTTCTGCTACACATTCGGGAATAAATGGGTTAGATTAGATTGAGTAGATGTTTGGACATACCGACAGATAGATAGAGTGGTAAAGAGATAGACATATAGAGATAGATGCATAAATAAAGAAGTAAATAGATAAACGGACATGTGTATAGAGAGAGATATACAGCCAGACAGTGACGTACAAAAGTAAAAACATAGATGGACAGCTAGATAGATAGGTAGACAGGTGGATAGATAGATAGATAGATGGATGGATAGATATATAGATAGTGTGGATTAGAATATTAGATGATAATAGACTGAGATAGATTAGATCGATTGGATAAATTAAACGTGTTAGATAGATTAGACGGATTTGATAGACAAGATACATTCGATAGAATAAAAATATAACAATTAGATACATTAGATTGATTAGATATAGATAGACAGACAAACACATAAACATAAACAAGGCTAAGTCGTTGTTCGTGGCCCCGCGCGATTTGGCCATTAAAACGCGGCAGCCAGCACAGCAAATGGCTGAATCCCCCACGACTGCCACGCGCGCGTCAAACTCCAGTGTTTTGTCGCAGAGCCAAGATTTGTGGGTAAGTCGCTGCCCCACTGGGAAAGAGCGTTGCAAAATCAGAGGCCCGAAAAAACTGATGAATACTATGTGTTGATTTGATTTGTTGTGGAACCAGAAGCTAAACAAATCACGGCCTCAAGTCGCGGCGCAGCAAGCAAACGGCAGTCCACAGACAGCCCGCTGTGTTGTGCCAGAACATGCTAGAGTACAGATACCCCAATTGCGGCGGTTCGCCGCTTACGTGGAGGGGTAGGCATACCACGGAACTGGCTAATGTTCGAGAGTGGCAAGTGTAGCGAAAACATGGACTGCAAGGGTCCCCATCACGCAAACTGAGTAGTCAGTGTGTGTGTGTGGGTGAGCGTGCGCGTGCGTGTGTGCGTGTGTGCGTGCGCGCGCGCGCGTGCGTGCGTGCATGTGTGCGCGTGTGTGACAATGACCACATCGTCCTTGTGCCTCGTCTCGCTCGAGGCAAAGAGCTCGAAGCACGTCCTTTTCTCCCCGGACTCGGCTGGCACGTGCGCCACCGGCTTCAGGTAGGCAACCACCAGCCTGGCAAAGTCGGCGTTGTTCTGCCTCGCCCGGGATGAGCGCACATGAGCCCGACACCTCTCCTTCAGCTCTGCAAGCTCGATGAAATGTAGCTTGCTCACCACACCCCAATCGAAGTTCACGCGGCGCTCGGCGGCAAACTCCTTCCAGCTGGGCATGGGGGTCATCTTCACGTGCGTGGAGCCACAGGCGTCTTTCACGCGCTCTGCCGCATCCGAGTAGACGGCGGCAGACCCCCAGACCTCAGACACGCGGAAGAGCTCAGTGCCGCAGTCTGCCTTGTGCACGATTTTCATCGGCATGAAGAGGCGAAACCATCCCTGCGACTCCGGCATCCTCTGCAAGCGTCCGCTCTCCTTACGTGATAGCCTTGCCAAGGAGCCATGAGGGTCAAGTACCTGCGGCCGAAAACGTGATTTCGTGGCTGCGCAGTGTGTGTGGGTCCAGCTTCAGCCTCTTGTCTGCAGAGTCCGAGTCTGTGGCGTTTCTCTCGATGCATCGCAACAGAGCCTTGCCGCACGTTGACAGCCCATAGCCTGAACTAATGCAAAGGGCTGAGTCGAGTGAAAGGCGGTCAGACACACGACATGCATCAAACACACGGCCTCTGCAGTAGGGCGCAAGCCCCACCTGCCGCGCCACGTCGCCTGAACTTCTTGCCCTGACAGCATCGCCTCCGACTGCATCGCCGTCATCCCGACGTGCAGGGTAACGCTTTGCATTGCCGGCGTGGTGAGACAGCAAAGCGTAGCGATCGGAGCCGAAAAGAGCTCGTCGTGGCGCGCGCCCCTTCTTTCTTGAGCTGCTTAAGCAGCACCCTATTTCAAGGTCTGCTTCTGCAAGCGCACGTGAAGAGTCGTGGTACATTATATATAAGGCTGTGGCATGACAGCAAGCGTCAATGAAGAAGCCGCGTGCCTTAGCACCAACGAGTCAAAAGTTGGAGTGCAGAAAAGCTGCACTTAGTCCTGAGCCCGGCGCGAGCATGTTCTGCCGGAGAGGTTCTGCACGACGGCATCTGCTCCCCAGCCTTGAAAAGCTCCACTACAAGCCTTGCGCAGACAGTCTTGCAGCAAGTCAAAAGCTGGAGTGCAGAAAAGCTGCATTTGTTCCTGCAGTGGCAAGTCTCCGATGGCCCATTGAGCCGCGTCCTTGTCGCAGGATACGCTCTTCGGAATGGCACTTGTCTGAATGTTTTTTTCAAGAGCAAACACTTGTAAGCAGACTTAACAACGCGTCTATGTGACAGCAAGCGCTCAACCTACAGCCCGCGTCTATGTGACAGCAAGCGCTTATTTATCACTCCCGAGCATTTTGGTCACAACATCCGAAAAAGCCATTGCTTCAGAAGCCTTGCCCAGGAGGTTCTGCACGACAGCATCTGCTCCCGGGCACGGCAGTGAGATCATAGAATGTTGAATCTTCGGAAGAGCGAAACAACATCTCTGAGTTGGACTCTTGGCCATCTCCAATGGCCCATTGAGCCGCGTCCTTGCCGCAGGATATGCTCTTCGGAATGGCCGCGACAGCTGCCGGCCGCGCTCATCCGCCAGAGCTGGAGCTGGCTCCGGCTTGCTGTAATCGA